TCTGCTGGATAGTGTCCTGTGCAAAGGAATGTTGCAACCGAGATCTTGGCGAGGAGCAGGATTAAAGCAAGAAAGTCATCAATCACAATGAAAGGTGTCATTTAATTAATTTATCGCTCATTACATACAAACAGCTGGTTCTGTTGTTACACGTGTCATGGTTTGAAGATAAATATCTGTGTGGAAGGTATAGGATTTATACAGTTTGGGGTGAATTACTGTTTAACCAATGGTTTTGATGTGAATCTTTTGTTGTTCCTGACATCTGTCTCTAAGGTTTTATCTTTTGCAACCAGTACTAATAGTCCTGTTTCAAGGTCAGATTAATCTTTCTAAATGATTATAAATATCTTTCATTATGAATAGGTATCATAGCGTCGCCGAGCAGTTTACTTGAGCACTCGTGAGCATTGCAACTATTTCCAAAGGCAAACAAGAAGCGTACAGAAATAATCCAAAACGGCTGATTTTAATCCTTGAAATATTTTTTCTTATAAGACATGTATCCACATCCTGTACGAGTTCACAAATCTAATTTGAAATGCAATGAATTCGCGTTTTTATTTTGGTTGTCAAAGGGGGTGGGGGGGGGGGGGGGAGAAGATTATTTAATACATTTTATTTTCTGAAATAGTACGTGCGTTTATAATTTTATGATCGCTTGATGGGAGTTTTTTCCCCCCCACAAGTAGACTTGAACGACCAAATTAGGAGTTGTTTGGATCACTATTATCAGTCAGAATCGTTTGCGTGGTCCCTTCGCGAAAATGGATCCATATAAAATGCCTTTCCGCGGAGGAACGAATCCACCTCGACCCCAAATAGACTCGCAGACAGGTCGCTACGACTTGAGACGCCAGATGTCGCTCTCAAGCTACGACTTGCAGAGAGGGCAAGTCAGGAACCGACAGCGAATGCCAGTGTGCAGAAGGCAGGAGAGACTTCGGTTGGATTTAATGGCATTAGATTTGGCTCGTCAGAATAATTAGCACAGCATTATTTACAGCAATTGCTTGCCCCTGGGTGTAGCTGCAAATAAAGACAACAAACTGACTCGAATAGTTGTCAGCTCCCCCCCCCCCCCCCTCCCTCACCCCACTCCACCCCCCCAACCCTTTTATGTCTTTAGGTATTAAACGACACGTATACGCCATGACTTTATTTAGGTTGTAAAACGCACCCGGAGTGACTTCACGCCGGAAAGTGAGGAGCAAAATATCTTCTTGTAAATATTTCCGAACCGAGTAACGTGGGGGAGTGAGTTCGCTCTCTGTGGAGTTTCCAATTGCGTTCAGGGCGAGTTTATATTAATTGCATCCCTACCCAAGCTGGCGTCCTCCAGTCTGCAAAACTCACATCGTTTAATGTTTAGCAGTGCCACATCAAAACTTCAGATAGTTTGCCTTGCCATCAAATAAAACTTTAGGTTGCTTTTTATTTTTTTAAAAAAAAACCCAATTCGAATCATTGTGATTTTCAAGGTTTTCGAAATATATATACATATATATATATATATATATATATACATATATATATATAACGCGCACACAGTGCTTTAAGAGATAAATTGTCACTTTACTCAACCCTAAGAATAATGCATTAATTGTACGTTCTCGATTCTTGTAATACCAGTCGAAGCCCAAAAAAAAAATTGGTACAAATACAACCACTAAGATTATCATTATATCATTGTATCAACCACTAGATTATCATTGCATTAACAGAACTTATTGATGGTCCGAAACAAAAAGAAATATATTTCCTCCCCCCCTCTCCCCCCCCAGGATGTTCGCTTGGGCTCAACTAATAAAATAAAGCAATCGCTTTAACTTTCTTTATTCGGGTTCTCGCTTTGCTGTCAAAGGCTAACGTTTGAGCAAAGAATCTCCAGCGCATAGTGGCGCCCTCACGTTTATAAATCGTGCAAAAAAAAAATGTGGCATTTATCAGTCTGGAAGCAGATGTGTTATACGTACGTTGGTTTTAAACCGTCATAAATATTTATTGTAGCTTCAGCATTTTGAATGACAAAAAAAGTATGATCGCGAATGGACTGAGAGACAAAGAGGCAGTAGCACATTTCTGTCAGACTGAAACCTACTGTTGTTTCAAGTTCTGACGCACAAAACATTACACTTCTAATAATATTGCAAGGGTAACAGTGGGCTGGCTGGCTTTCACTCTTCCAAACAGTGTAACGTTTCAAAAAAACTTGTTTTCTTGGTTATTAAATTAAATCGAGTTCCGAGACTGATGAACCAACTACTGCTTAACTTTAGTAAATACATACATGCTTTGCTCTGCGTGGGAACACTAAAGTAATCGAGTCAGTAACACTCTAAGAATAAGGATTTGAAGGCTTCCAAAGCCTTCCAATATTCACGTAAATTAGAAATGCAAAGCTTTGCGCGCGTGTCATCTGGTTTATTTTACTGTATTTCTGATCATCACTTTAAGTCTTCTCTTTCTGTCTCTCTCTCTCTCTCTCTCTCTCTCTCTCTCTCTCTCTCTCTCTCTCTCTGTCTACCCTTCTCTCTCTCTCTGTCTATTTCTCTCTCTCGGCCAAACTGATATGATGGGACAATTGTTTGACCTTAAAGGGGCCAAAAGCAATACAAACTGCGCCTTGATCATTCAGCTGAGAATTGTAACCCCGTGGCCTGTCGTGAGATGGGGCCAGTGTGATTTGCTTTGATCTCCCCTGGTTCTGTGTCGAAAACAATACTGATTTCTGCCCCACACCCAGTGAGCAATGCATTCCAGAGAAACAGCCAAACAACCAGCCACCAGAATCACTGGCGTTGACTTTTGTGCATTTCCCTAACTACCACCCCACCTTCCCCCCACCCCTCCAAACTGTCACTCGCAGAATTATCCATAACAGTCTATGTTCAACATGACAGTTCCTTTTAAACTCCCGTTTTACAACCGAACACCCATTTGTAAAACTCTTTTGTTTAGACACATTTCCTGTTTGTCGCGTTTGTATTTTTTTAAAAAAAAGGGAAAACGAGGTTTGCCCATTCGTATTTGTGGAGCCATATGCTTGCTTGTTACAATGAATATTAAGAGAGAGAGAGAGAGAGAGAGAGAGAAGGGGGAAAAAAACACTAAGTAAATAAATGCTTTAGAATTTTACTGGGAGGTAAATGGACAGATGCTTCAGAAAGCGTTTAAGAAAATTCTCATCACATTTGCTGTGGTAACCAAACCAAACCAAACAAAACAAAAGATAATTAAAACTATTTTCTTTCCAATAATTACCTTCTGGTCAATTTAACTGTATGGAGTTTGAAAGAAACTGGGCAAATGAGATCCCAGTCCCAAACGTGTTCCCATGCCTGAGCCCAGCCTGTAATTATTCGTTTGGTTTCATTTGCTTCAGACGCTGCAGTGAGTAATCACAAAGAAGTCAGAGAGCATCCTTGAACCTTTTCAATACCCAAGCCAGTGATATTCAAATAACGTTTAAGGGCCATTTGACTGGGAACATAAGCATTTCAAATTCAGCATTAGCATACATTTGCTTCGTTTGAAAAGCAATGAAACAGTTGCCTTTCCTAACACACACACACACACACACACACACACACAAAAAAAACCCCTCGGTTATCAAATCGAGTGCCCCCAGGTTTTTTTTTCAAACGCTTGCATTTTATCATGAATCCCTCTTTTCGGCGTTTGACATGCAAATATATCTAGTTAATTCGAACAATTAAAATTTGATCTTCAAGGGAGCTTTGTGCCACCAGAAATCTCGAGAGTTTTGCTTGGACCAGCCCGCAGAAAGTTCACGGGAACGAATGATGTCTGAGAGATTAATTGGATATTTGATAAGACATGAATCTCGGATCGGGCATACAACACTCAGGGGGCTGGTGTGTGTTCCGAGTCAAAATTAATAACATTTAACAAGCTTTTCATTAAGGCGTGAAATGTCTGCTATGGGGTATTAACCGCTCGGCGTATTCCACAGAGAACTCAACTATACTTCAGGCTTAAGGGAATTTTAATCGTATTGCATGTCAGATGTATACATACGTGCTTGTAAAAATGACATAAGATATACTATATTAACCCGATAGGTCCATGTCACGATATCGATTCTCTAATAAACCTAATGATAACCAGCACCTGGATTTGTTTTTCATGCCGATTTACCCTTTTTCGCTAGTTTCGTAGTTATTGGCGTATTTAAAGTTGCAAGGTCAGGCACAAATTACTTTAAAATACATGGTCTGTAATGTTTTTTTTTGTGTTTTTTTGTTTTAAAAAAAAACAACCATGACATTTCGATTTATGTAGAGTGGTTTTAATAATGAAGCCATGTTCCAAGTTTGCACTTGCACACTTTATTTATACAGGTAAATGCATATAATTCCTTTAAAATATGCGGCGCAAGTGTTTTTCTCTCTCTCTGTTCATATAGTAAGTAGTTCGATGAACGATTTCATATTTGATAAGTGTATTACATACTGACTTTCACAAAGTGCATCGAAATCAAAATAATGTCTCGCCGAATCCCATAAGAACCGGTCACAAAATAGTTTTTCTGATCAAACATTTACAAGAGAGACAGAGAGACAGAGAGAGAAAGATAGAGAGAGAAAGATAGAGAGAGAAAGATAGGTAGAGGAGGAGGAGGAGGAGAGGGGGAAAAAAAAAACACAGGACGTTTTGAACTTCATCTGTACACATAATCTTAAGTCATTTCATAAATGAAAGAATTTGTCCCAAAAGGGGCGGTTTTTTTTTTCGATGTACAATTTGCTCACCTTTTCCTGGGGTTTTTGTTTTAAAGTCGCAGTCTTCGTGACAGTAAAAGACTTGGGGGGGGGGGGTGGGTGGGGTGGGGGGGGAGGGAGGGAGGGGGACTCCAAGCACTGCACATAATAAACTTATTATTTTTTTTCGGGGAGTGGGGGGACATATATAGTTTGAGTGTTTTGTTTTGTTCCCCTTTTTTTTAGAGAGGAGGGGGTGGGGGGGTGGGGGTAGGTTTAGGAGTCGTTCTGTACTGGAGTGGCTGCCTTGGTTACTCTGTTGGAGTGCACAGCTTCCAGGAGCAGGTCCGGTGATTCGGATCGGGGGGTCTCCAGGTTACTGGTGTCGGTGTCGCTGTCGCTGCCCTTCTTGCCCCCTCCGCCGCTGTGCGTTTTGATGTGTTTGCTGAGGTGGTCGCTCCTCATGAAGCGTTTGTTACAGACCGGACAGGCGAAGCGCTTCTCTCCCGTGTGCGTCCTCAAGTGTCTCTGCAGCTCGTCCGACCGCGTGAAGCGTTTGCCGCAGAACAACCAGTTGCACACGAACGGCCGCTCGCCGGTGTGCCAGCGCAGGTGGGCCTTGAGGTGAGACGTCTTACCGTAGACCTTCCCGCAGCCCGGGATGTGACAGCTGTGCAGACCCTTCCTCCTCAGGCTGGCCCCCGCCGGCCCGAGCCGCTCGGCCTCTTGGCAGTTGGGGCAGTCGCAGGTGGCCCGGCCCGAGTAACGCCGGGACGACCTCGCCGAGCCCCCTCCTAGTCCGGATGGGGTGGAGATCATCGAGCTGCCCGAGATGGCAGCCGAGGCGGACTCGGCGTTGTAGGACGGGATCATGGACTTGAAGCCTTCCTGGGCCAGCAGGTGCTGCCCGGTGGACAACAGGTGGGAGGCGGTGGAGCCGATCCCGGTGGAGCTGAAGGCGGAGTGGCTGAGGGTGGAGAAGTCGGCGTTGTAGCCGCCGAGTTGGGAGTGCAGCGGCCCCTGGGCGGTGCCGGAGTGCAGAGTGGACTGCAGGGCCCCCGCCGGGTTCTGGACGTCCAGCCAAGTCGGGTTCGTGTGAACGTCCCACCAGGAGGAGCCCCCACTGCCGACCTCGCCCGAGATGCTGGTGTGGAAACCCGACTTGTACCAGGACTCGTACGGGTGGGCCATCCCACCCGCGGGTACATCCCCTGGAGAGACTCAGCCGAAGAGTGGACCTTGGAGATGAAGGCCGACTGCCCGGTGTCTTGCGAGTTGACGTTGGCCGACACCGAGTTGGAGAAGAGACTGTACTCGGCGCCAAAGGCGGACGACGTGGGGGAGGTGGAGGCCAAACAGAAGGCGCTGCTCCCGGAGCCGCCGTTGACCGAGAAGCTGTTGGCGATGGCTCCCGAAGCCCGGGCGCTGCCCACACCGAATCCCGACAGACCCGAGCCCAGGCTGCAGTTGGAGACCGATCGCTTCCACGGATGAAACCCGCCCTTTCCAAACGCACCGGACTCCGGCAAAGTCGTCAACGGGCTCGTGTTCCCGATCTTGTTGCAGGTGGCGGCCAACATGGCCAACGGGGTGGTTCCGAACCTGGGCTCTTCCTGGGGGTGGGGGGGGGGGGGGGTGGGGGGGGGGAGGTGGGGTGGGGTGGGGGGGGGGGGGAGAGACGCTCTGATCAATAAGGTTTTCGTTGGGTCACAGTCCCATCTCAACGCGGACAGGGGATGGGGGACACTCATCTCCAAACCCCATCGCCCCCACCCACCCCCCACCCACCCACCCACCGGGGCCCTCCCCTCCCCCCTCCCGCCTCCCGCCGCCGCCGTGGGAGATGGTTTCGGATGAAGCAAAACGCTTCACTCAGTCACTCAGTCACACAGTCAGTCACTCACTCACACAGAGGCAGATTTGTTTGTCTTTTAGGTTGATTTGTTGGGGAGGGGGGGGAGGGGTTGGGGTTGGGGGGTGGGGGTTGGGGGGGGGGGGGGGTGGGGTTGGGGGTAAATAAAGGGGAGAAAAGAAGATGACTGGTTTTTTTTTGGGGTGGTGGGGGGTTGAGGGGGGGGTCCAACAACAACAAAAAAAACCACAGCGCAGATCTGCGCAATCTTTAGTAAGTATTTGTTCGGCAGTTACTGAACGTAAAAGTTTGCACAACTTACCCCAAGTATTGAAGTTGCCATGAGGGTGTTTTTGTTCTCGTGGTTCTCGCTGTGTGTTTATATAATATATATATATATGTGTGTGTGTATATATATATATAGTGTGTGTATATATATATGATGTAAACGGAAACTCGCGTGGATAAGAGTGCGAGGAAGGATGGATGGATGATACCACTACACTCACTGCCTTGTTCTGCTGACGACTCGACCCTAATTGTAGCGGGTGTGGGCTTTGAAGTGCCGCTGTGCCGAGCCCTCGGCCAATCAGACCTTTTTATTGCGTGGAAGAGCCCCCCCCACCCCCCCTCCCTCCCACCCCCCCTCCCCCCACCCCACCCCCCGGGGGCGAGCAGTCAGCCACTCAGGCAGCCCCCAACTCGCCGGGCTGCACCGGGTGGCCACCAATCGGGGGCTCGGAACGCGAGCGCAACCGGGCAGCCAGTGTCAATCATGTGCCTGGATCGGCTGCACCAACCATCTCACCCCCCACCCTCCCCACTCCCACCCCCACCCACCCCACCCCACCCCCACCCACTCCCACCCCCACCTCTGGCTCTCTCTGTACACTGAACTTACTGTTAGTGCAACTACACACACCACCCCCTCCCCACCCACCACCACCCACCGCCCCCACCCCCACCACCCCCAGCCCACCACCCCCACCCCCACCCCCACCACCCCCAGCCCACCACCACCAGCCCACCACCAGCCCTGGCTCTCTGCACACTGAACTTACTGTTGTTAGTGCATCTACACACACACACACACACACCACCTCTCTCTCTCTCTCTCTCTCACACACACCACACACACACACACTCACTGTCCTTCCCTTCGGTTTTGATTCGTAGTTTCTACACATGCACAAGAAATCCCATCCCGATGAGAGAATGAGTGAGAGAGGAAGAGAGAGAGAGAGAGAGAGAGATGTGTGTGTTCAGATGCTGCACATTTTCAGAAGAGTACACACACACATACAGAGAGAGAGAGAGAATGAAGAGGGAGAATGGGATGTCCTAACTTGTATGTTTTTTTTCCCCTTTATTAAAATAACATATTACCCTAAGGGCAACAGGCAGATAAATCTGTTTTACTTTGCGTCAAATGCAAAAAAAAAATTAGGGATAGAGAGACGGAAACGTGCCACAGAGGAGATTTTTTTGGGGGTTAAAAAAAATAAGCTCCAAATAGGTTCACAAAATAATTTGTGTGAGGATTTTACTGTAAAGATCTACTTACGGTTTATTCGCGAATATTATGAATCAGACTTTTAGCACATGTCCAGGGTTTAAATTGTGGGTAATACTCTGAGGTGTGTTGTTGCTCTATCCCGTGCAATCAACGTGTTATCCTGACATGACAGGACAACGCTCCCAAATTCCCATCCAACTTTAATGTGGGAATCTTTTTATTCAAGTGCCACTCTTTAATCCAGTAACTACATTTGCTGGAGTAATAATAATAATAATAATAATAATGAATAATAATAATAAGAAGAATAGTACCTTAAATGATTTCTTTCCACACAACGTCAATGTTTGCGTGAATTTGTCTTCCAGTGTGTGTGTGTGTGTGAGTGTGTGTGTGTGTGTGAGTGTGTGCGTGGAGGCGCTGCTAATCCTCAGACCGTTATTGGTGTGAGTCGTATGTAGTACAAATGTTGCGGGAGGAATCGCACACACACACACGCACACACACACACGCACACACACGCACACACCACACGCACACACACAGCTGAGTCGCGTTCAGAATCACACACATGTCAGGGTCCGGTCTGTGCATCGCAAATCTGAATTACTTAAGCAGACGTCGATCTGGGAGCATGAAACGAGCTGCAGCCTTACCCATGGGGACTGTCTGTGATCTTGATCAAAATGACGCCGCTGTGTTATGCTCCTCGTTTGATCCGCTGTGAGAAATAACAAAAGCTGCGCTGGGAAGAGTTGCTCGCAATTACTGAGTGTCTGAGTGAGTGAGTGAGTGAGTGAGTGAGTGAGTGAGTGAGTGAGTGAGTGAGCGAGTGAGAGCAGGTGAATGAATATTGCTCTGTGCTGTGATATAAGAGACCCAGTTGTGTTTATTGCTGCCGTGTTTACTGGATTTTACCAATAGCTGTGATTATAAGATGTCACTGAGGCGTTGCAGACCGGCCCAGGGGCAGGAGAGGGAGGGGAGGGATAAATGCATTTATTTATTTTTTGGTGTGTGTGTCGAAGAAGACTGATTGAACGGTGTTAACAAGTGAATTTGTTGGAAGTTCTGATTTGTTTTGATGAACTAATCGCGGTCAAAGGGTTTATGAACTCAGCTTCCGACAGACATCCTTCCAAACCTACTGAGTCAGTCAGTCAGTCAGTCAGTCAGCAAATGATCACAATGATTGAAAAGAAAGCACACCACCTTAGAAACTAACCTTATTCCATCATATAAGTAACCATCGGCTTGATTAAGACGCGGCAGTACATCTTTACTAATATTCACAGACAGTTGCAATCATCGGGGATGGAGGCAATAACGATTACTAATAATCCAGAGGGGAAAAGAGAAATGACACACACACACACACACACACACACTCACAAAAAAAAAGCTTCAACCCTCTGCGTGTTATTTCATAACAGAATTAATCAGTCGGGAATCCTTGCACATGCCTAATGCAGAACTTCCAGCAATCCGAGCAGTGTTTTTTTTTACTTGAAACCCATTTTTTTAAAAAAAAATAAGCACAGATCAGGACATTATGCGAATGAGTTTTGCTCGCTGCTACAACATTTGGAGGTAATGACAAATCCAACAAAGCCCCCTAGTTCTGAGTGTAATCGCTTGTGACTGACTCATCATCCTTTTAAAAGTTAAAGCAATTTCAGGAGAGGCGCTTTCAGAAACCGCTTTACATTATTCAAAACGGACAAATAATGCTCCATTATAGCGCTTGAATGCTGCCAGTCATCAGAAGTGCAATTTATCGAAACGCTCAATGTGCCAAATATCGAAGTCTTTATGGGTTGGTTGAATCTAAAACAATTTCTTAGAAATCTCTGCATAGATTTCGAAAATTGCCTCCCCATTACAATCATACCAATTTGGCGAGACAGCAATTAGCACTATTAAACCTCGATTCTGCATAAACAAATTTGATAGAAATGCGTCTAGTTATCTCGTCCACAAAGGGAAATTCAGTTCCAGAAATACATCCAAAGGTCGGTATAGATATATATATATATATATATATATATATTAAGTTTTTTTTTAAAAATTGCCATCTTGGAAATCACAGTTCGACGTCGAGTTATTTGAAACATGGATTCTATTTCGCTTCTATTCTCTTAAACTGGATGCTTCAAGTAGTGCTGGCAATAGAGGAAATTATTTCCATTTTAAATTAATTTGGCACTGTATGTTTCAAGGGCCTAATTAGCATTACCCAGTTTGAAAATGTTAATAATTTTGCGACTTCTTAACATTCAATATTTTAGCGGTATAATAATAATGATCCCCCATTGATGTATTTATTCTGGTTTGCTTAAAAAAACTTAACTTTAGAAAAAAATGTATCATTCTTCGAGGAGAAAGCAGTTACGATTAATTACGATCTAAATTAAAGCTTCCAGCTATCTCTGGAGAGGGTTTCCCATATTGTCAGGAATTTTCTGAATCGCCTAAACTCTAAAAGATAAATCTGTATAAAATGAGGGTCTGCATCTGTATATGTACGTCTTGTGATGTTCTTCGTGGATAGCATATAACATTTCTAAAATATAATTTAAAATATGTCCAACTCCTAATGTAACTCCAGTAATAACGTGTTTGAAGGTATGTGTTGTAAAACAGTTCTCGATCTTTCCTTCGGCTCATTCAAAAGTTCGACTTTTCAAAGTACTTCTATATCCAGTATTTTGCAGCGGTTTATAAATTACTTGGGTTTAAAGCTTCACAGTTGTTTGGACTATTGCAGAGCTGCATCGCCCTACGAACAGAGCATATCATTTAAATAACATGATGATTAATTGGATACTTATCTGTTTTACTGCACTTAATATATCGTGATCTTTGTTTTAATGTCTAACAATGGCAGGAGTACGGAATTTGGCTTTAACCCTTAAATCAATTGAAAGTGATTTCACATCAAGGTGCACGTTTTCGCATTTGAGAATGTGTGTCTGATAATAATTTCATCGCCGAATTGAAGTAAAATTCAAGAGGCACATCCTAAATTTGAATTATCGGGGTCTGAAGGACCAAAGAGGTACATACACACACAGACACACAAAAAAAAAGCAACCCCCCCCCAAAAAAAATGATCCATAAAAACGCCAGCAATCAAATAAACCTGGGTTGCTGACACAGGCGAATTATATTGTGAGGATGAAGTGGGATGGGGTGGTGGAGGGGGAAAAAAAACGCGTTTGGGGGATCTGTAAGGATCCTGGGGTAAAGATTCAGAAGGAAATAGCGACCACAGGAGCAGCAGAGGTAATGTTTTAGGGGGCTGTCAGCTTGAGGAAGATGAATGCTCCATCTGGGATGTGGGATTTTAATTAGAGTGATTATGTTCAGATCGCCCTCATTCATTCATCAGCTGATCAGTAAGTGGCGCTGCCAACGCTTTCACCAAATGCGGTCGTGATCAGGCAAATTATTTTAAATGAGTCGCAATATTCTCAGATGAAGTGCTCCCCGTAGTAATGACCCAAAAACCACTCGCTCGGGTCGATACAAGTCTTCAAAAATCATATGTTGCTTCAAAACGTAAACAGACAACATTTATAAATATTTATTAAGTGCACCGCCCCACACACATGGAGGCTTTTTTTTTTACACACACACACACACACACACACCTCTCCCGAAATAATTATTTTGGCGTGTGAGAAAACCTCAGACAACATGCATAGATCTGTCATACATATTTTTTTTTTTTTGGTCACTAGACGTATAGATATGTCGTTGTCATGCATAGATTCCAGAGTTTACACCTCCAGGAAAGCTCCAGGAAGCCCAGAGGACTGACTGAG